TGTGATGTTCGGGTGTCAATTTTAGATCTTCCCTGCTTTCTCCTGTGGGCATTTAATGCTATATATTTCCCTCTAAATACTGCTTTAGCTGTGTCCCAGAGATTCTGGTGCCTTCTGTCTTTTTTCTCATTGGTTTGAAATAACATTTATTTCTGCCTTAATATCGTTATTTACCCAGTAGTCATTCAGGAGCAGGTTGTTCAGTTTCCATGCCATTGTGTGGTTTTCAGTGAGTTTCTTAATCCTGAGTTCTAATTTGATTCCACTGTGGTCTGAGAGACTGTTTGTTATTATTTCCATTTTTTTTGCAGTTGCTGAGGAGTGTTTTACTTCCAATTATGTGGTCAATTTTAGAATAAGTGTGATGTGGTGCTGAGAAGAATGTATATTCTGTTGATTTACAGGTGGAGAGTTCTGTAGATGTCTATTAGTTCTGCTTGGTCCAGAGCTGTGTTCAAGTCCTGAATATCCTTGTTAATTTTCTGTCTTGTTGATCTGTCTAATATTGACAGTGGGGTGTTAAAATCTCCCACTATCATTGTATGGGAATCTAAGTCTCTTTGTAGGTCTGTGAGAACTTGCTTTATGATTTTGGGTGCTCCTGTTTTGGGTGCATATATATTTAGGATAGCTAGCTCTTTTTGTTGCATTGATGCCTTTACCATTGTGCAATGCCCTTCTTTGTCTTTTTTGATCTTTGTTGGTTTAAAGTTTGTTTTATCAGAGACTAGGATTGCAACCCCTGCTGGGTTTTTTTTTTTTTTTGCTTTCCATTTGCTTAGTAAATATTCCTTCATCCCTTTATTTAGAGCCTATGTGTGTCTCTGCACATGAGATGGGTCTCCTGAACACAGCACACCAATGGGTCTTGACTCTCTATCCAATTTGCCCATCTGTGTCTTTTAATTGGGGCATTTAGTCCATCTACATTTAAGGTTAATATTGTTATGTGTGAATTTGATTCTTTCATTATGATGCTAGTTGGTTATTTTGCCCATTAGTTGATGTAGTTTCTTCATAGTGTCGATGGTCTTTACAATTTGATATGTTTTTGCAGTGGCTGGTACCGGTTTTTTCTCTCTATATTTAGTGCTTCCTTCAGGAGCTCTTGTAAGGCTGGCCTGGTGGTGACAAAATCTCTCAGCATTTGCTTGTCTGTAAAGGATTTTATTTCTCCTTCACTTATGAAGCTTAGTTTGGCTGGATATGAGATTCTGGGTTGAAAATTCTTTTCTTTAAGAATGTTGAATAATGCCCCCCACTCTATTCTGGCTTGTTGGGTTTCTGCAGAGAGATCTGCTGTTAGTCTGATGGGCTTCTCTTTGTGGGTAACCTGACCTTTCTTTCTGACTGACCTTAACATTTTTTCCTTTATTTCAACCTTGGTGAATCTGATGATTATGTGTCTTGGGGTTGCTCTTCTTGAGGAGTATTTTTGTGGTGTTCTCTGTATTTCCTGAGTTTGAATATTAGCCTGTTTTGCTAGGTTGGGGGAAGTTCTCCTGGATAATATCTTGAAGAGTGTTTTCCAACTGGGTTCCATTTTCCCTGTCACTTTCAGGTACACTAATCAAACGTAGATTTGGTCTTTTCACATAGTCCCATATTTCTTTTCATTCTTTTTTCTCTAATCTTGTCTTCACGCTTTGTTTCATTAATTTGATCTTCAATCTCTGATATCCTCTCTTCCACTTGATCGATTTGGCTATTGATACTTGTGTATGCTTCTCGTGCTGTGTTTTTCAGCTCCATCAGGTCATTTTTGTTCTTCTCTAAACTGGTTATTCTAGTTAGCAATTCGTCTAACCTTTTTTCAAGGTTTTTAGCTTCCTTGCATTGGGTTAGAACATGCTCCTTTAGCTCAGAGGAGTTTGTTATTACCCACCTTCTGAAGCCTACTTCTGTCAATCTGTCATACTCCTTCTTTGTCCAGTTTTGTGCCTTTGCTGGTGAGGAGTAGTGATCCTTTGGAGGAGAAGAGGCATTCTGGTTTTTGAAATTTTCAGCCTTTTTGCTCTGGTTTTTCCTCATCTTTGTGGATTTATCTAGCTTTGGTCTTTGATGTTGGTGACCTTTCCATGGGGTTTCTGTGTGGTTGTCCTTTGTGTTGATGTTGATGCTGTTGGTTTCTGTTTGTTAGTTTTCTTGTAACAGTCAGGCACCTCTTCTGCAGGTCTGCTGGAATTTGCTGGAGGTCCACTCCAGACTCTGATTGCCTGGGTATTACCAGCAGAGGCTGCAGAACAGCAAAGATTACTGCCTGTTCCTTCCTCTGGAAGCTTCGTCCCAGAGAGGCACCTGCCAATTGCTAGCCAGAGCTCTCCTGTATGAGGTGTCTGTCGACCCCTGCTGGGGGGTATCTCCCAGTCAGGAGGCACAGGGGTCAGGGACTCACTAGAGGAGACAGTCTGTCCCTCAGCAGAGCTTGAGTGCTGTTCTGGGAGATCTGCTGGTTTCTTCAGAGCCAGCAGGCAGGAATATTTAAGTCTGCTGAAGCTGCACCCACAGCCGCCTCTTCCCCCAGGTGTTCTGTCCCAGGGAGGTGGGAGTTTTATCTATAAGCCTCTGACTGGGGCTGCTGCCTTTCTTTCAGAGATGCCCTGCCCAGAGAGGAGAACTCTAGAGAGGCAGTCTGGCTACAATGGTTTTGCTGAGCTGTGAAGGGCTCCACCTCTTCTGAACTTCCCAGTGGCTTTGTTTACACTGTGAGGGAAAATCCACCTACTCAAGCCTTAGTCATGGTGGACACCCCTCCCCCCACCAAGCTTGAGTGTCCCAGGTCAACTTCAGACTGCTGTGCTGCCAGCAAGAATTTCAAGCCAGTCAGTCTTAGCTTGCTGGGCTCTGTGGGGGTGGGATCTGCTGAGCTAGACCAGGTGGCTCCCTGGCTTCAGCCCCCTTTCTGGAGGAGTGAATGGTTCTGTCTCACTGCTGCTCCAGGCGCCACTGGGTTATGGAAAGAAAACTCCTGCAGCTAGCTTGGTGTCTGCCCAAATGGCTGCCCAGTTTTGTGCTTGAAACCTAGGGTCCTTGTGGTGTAGGCACCTGAGGGAATCTCCTGGTCTGTGGGTTGCAAAGACTGTGGGAAAAGTATAGTATCTGGGCTGGAGTGCACTGTTTCTCATGGCACAGTCCCTCATGGCTTCCCTTGGCTAGGGGAGGGAGTTTCCTGACCTCTTGGGCTTCCCAGTTGAGGTGACGCCCCACCCTGTTTTGGCTCACCCTCTGTGGGCTGCACCCACTGTCTAACCAGTCCCAGTGAGGTGAGCCAGGTACCTCAGTTGGAAATGCAGAAATTACCTGCCTTCTGCGTTGATCTTGCTGGGAGCTGCAGACTGGAACCATTCCTATTTGGCCATTTTGCCAGCCACCCCCACCTAGGTCCTATTTTTAATTTTTTGAGGAAACTTCACACTGTTTTACAGAATGGCAGCAGCAATTTACATTCCCACCAACAACACATACGTATTTTCTCTACATCCTTGCCAACACCTCTTACCTTTCACCTTTTGATGCTAGCCGTCTGACAGGTGTGAGATGGTACGTCACTGTGGTTTTGATTTTCATTTCCCCAAAACTCCCTGGGAGGGGATTGGGGATCTGTCTTTAGGCAGATAGGGGGAGTTCAGGGAAAACATCTCTCTCCCTTTGATCTTTCTCAAGTGTCTTCAGCTCGAAGTGATCAGCACACCAAAGCGGCATATTTTGGGGTGGCATTTCCTTAGTTCTTTCAAGGGGCTCAGGGCAGTGGCTTTTCCCCAACTGGGTTAAAAGCACGTTAATGCTTCAGTTCTGTGTAGGGCTTTAGTGCAGCACCCTAGCTGGACATCGGCCCCACCAGGTACGGGTGGGGTTCTGGGAAAGGGCCCGGGTTCTCAGGAGGCTGCACTTGTGACAGCAGCTGACTTCCTGTAAGTGCACTGGTGCAGGAAGAGTGAGCCCTGCTTCCTGTGTTGCTGGGGGTTGGGGGTGGGGGGGAACGGAGGGGAAGCCAGGCCCTTGAACTTGACCTTTTGTCATGCAGGCACTGCAGCTGGGGGTTGGAGGCTTCCTGGAGGGTGCCTGAAATGGATTGTGGCAGTGCAGCTCCTTCCTCGGGGCAAGAACCCCGAGCTGGGGCAGTGATTTCCCTCCCCTTGATTTCCTCACTTTTGTTTTGCTTTCTCTTTTTTTTTTTTTTTTTTTTTGAGATGGAGTTTTGCTCTTGTCACCCAGGCTGGAGAGCAGTGGCATGATCTTGGCTCACTGCAACCTCCGCCTCCTGGGTTCAAGCGATTTTCCTGCTTCAGCTGCCCGAGTAGCTGGGATTACAGGTGTGCACCACCACGCCTGGCTAATTTTTGTATTTTTAGAAGTGATGGGGTTTCACCATGTTGGTCAGGCTGGTCTCGAACTCCTGACCTCAAGTGATCCACCAGCCTTGGCCTCCCAAAGTGCTGGGATTACAGGTGTGAGCCACTGTGCCTGGCCTCATTTTCTCTTAAACCATTAAATTGGACAGGTGCGGTGGCTCACACCTGTAATCCCAGCACTTTGAGAGGCCGAGTCAGGAGGCTCACTTGAAGTTAGGAGTTTGAGACGGCCAACATGGTGAAACCCCCATCTCTCCTAAAATACAAAAATTAGCTGGACTTGGTGGCGGGGCCTGTAATCCCAGCTACTGGGAAGGCTGAGGCAGGAGAATCGTTTGAACCCGGGAGGTAGAGGTTGCAGTGAGCCAAGATCACATCACGGCACTCCAGCCTGGGAGACAGAGTGAGACTCGATCTCAAAACAAAAAACAAAAAACAAAAAACAAAAACCCCCAAACTCCCCAAACTATTAAGTTTTGCAGCCAAACGTCATTCACCCTGGGTGTGGCTGAATCCAGGGAGGAGGGGAAAGCTCCATTACGCGGGTTTCAGGCCCACACCTGTGCGGCTGTTTTGCAGTCACCTGAAACCAGCAGAAAAAGCAGCTCAACTGTGGCTCTGAGAAACTTCTGATATTGGTCATGCTCATTCTCTACAAAATCTCACTCTCAACTAAGCTGAGTCCCCCCACCCCTGCCAATTTATTTTTCTGTTCCCAGTTATGCTCAGCGCTATCGTCTGTCCCCACGCTCCAGAGAACAGCGCGTGATAGGTTAGTTGGACGAATTAACACGAAGCTCCACATTCAAATAACGTGAGTCCCCTCCCATTATCATTATTATTTATTGTAGCAAAGTATACATAGTAGTTATTTCATCGTTAATATATCAATTATTTATCATTATCAATTTCTCATTTAGTCTGCCTGCCTTGGCCTCCCAAAGTGAGCCACCACGCCCGGCCTGTATTTTTAATTTTTTGAGGAACCTTCACACTGTTTTTCAGAATGGCTGCACCAATTTACATTCCCACCAACAACATTTAAGTGTTTTCTTTACATCCTTGCCAACACTTGTTATCTTTTGGCCTTTTGGTGGTAGCCATCTAACAGGTGTGAGATGATGTCTCATTGTGGTTTTGATTAGCATTTCCCTGATTAGTGATGTTGAGTACCTTTTCATATACACTTTAACCATTTGTATATCTTTTTTGGAAAAATGTCTATTCAGGTCCTTTGCCCATTTTTCAATTGGGTTATATATATTTTTTGCTATTGAGTTGCATGAATTCCATATATATTTTAGATATTTAATCCTTATCATATGCCATAAATACCCCTACCATGTACTCACAAAAATTAAAATAAATATATTTTAAAAAAGATATTAAAACTAAAGAAAAAAAAAACACTTATCAGATAGATGGTTTGCAAATATTTTCTCCATTCCATAGGTTGCTTTTTCATTTTGTTTTTTCCTTGACTGCTCAGAAGTGTTTTAGTTTGCGGTAATTCCCCTTGTCTATTTTTGCTTTTGCTGCCTGTGCTTTTGGTGTCATACTAAAAAAAACCTTTGCCAAGACCAATGACATGGAGCTTTTCTCCTCTCTTCTTCTAGAAGTTTACAGTTTTAGGTCTTACATTTAACTCTTTAATCTATTTTGAGTTAATTTCTTTTTTTTTTTTTTTTTTTTTGAGACGGAGTCTCGCTCTGTCGCCCAGGCTGGAGTGCAGTGGCCGGATCTCAGCTCACTGCAAGCTCCGCCTCCTGGGTTTACGCCATTCTCCTGCCTCAGCCTCCCGAGTAGCTGGGACTACAGGCGCCCGCCACCTCGCCCGGCTAAGTTTTTTTTTTTTTTGTATTTTTTTTAGTAGAGACGGGGTTTCACCGTGTCAGCCAGGATGGTCTCGATCTCCTGACCTCGTGATCCGCCCGTCTCGGTATTTTGAGTTAATTTCTGTGTATCGTGTAAGGTAAAGATCCAGTTTCATTCTTCTGCATTTGGATATTTCATTTTTCCAACATGATTTATTGAAGATACTATCATTTTCTCATTGTGTATTCTTGGTGCCTTTGCTGAATGCTAGTTGACCATGTATATATGTGTGTATTTCTGAACTTTCTATTGGGTTCAATTGGTCTATGTGCCTGTTTTTATTTATTTATTTATTTTTTTGAGACAGAGTCTCACTCTGTTGTCCAGGGTGGAGTGCAATGGTGTAATCTTGGCTCACTGCAACCTCTGCCTCTCGGGTTCAAGTGATTCTCATGCCTCAGCCTTCCAAGTAGCTAGGATTACAGGTGCCCATCACCATGCTCAGCTAATTTTTGTACTTTTAGTAGAGATGGGGTTTCATCATGTTGGCCAGGCTGGTCCCAAACTTCTGACCTCAGGTGATCCACCTGCCTCAGCCTTCCAAAGTGCTGGGATTATAGGCAAAAGCCACCATGCCTGGCCTATGTGTCTATTTTTAATACAAGTACTATACTGTTTTAATTACTGTATCTTTGTAATATACTTTGTATGAGCCACCATGCCTGGCCTATGTGTCTATTTTTAATACAAGTACTATACTGTTTTAATTACTGTATCTTTGTAATATACTTTGAGATCAGGATGTATGATGCCTCTATCTTTACTCTTCTTTCTCAAGATTGCCTAAGCTATTTGGGGTCTTTTTTGGCTCCACACAAATTTCAGGATTTAAAAAAAATTTCTGTGAAATACATCATTGAATTTTCATAGGGATTGCCTGAATCTGCACATCACTTTGTATAGTATGAGCATTTTAATGGTATTAATTATTCTATTTGTATCTTCTACAATTTCTTTCATCCATGTTTTATGGTTCTTATTGTACAGATCTTTCACCTCCTTGGTTAAACTTATTCTTAAGTTTATTCTTTTTGATGCCAGTTTAAATGGGAATGTTTTCTTAATTTCATTTTCAAGCAGTTTGTTGTTAGTATATATTATAGAAATGCAACTAATTTTTTAAAAAAATTTTTTCTTTTTCAAATTTTATTTTAGATTCAGGGGGGAGGTATAGATGTGCACATTTGTTACAAAGGTCTATTGTGTGATGCTGAGGTTTGCAGTACGATTGTACCCATCATCTGGGTAGTGAGCTTAGTATCCAATAGGTGGTTTTTTTAACCCTGGCCCTCCTCCCTCCCCTCTCTTTAGTCCCCAGTGTCTACTGTTCCCATCTTTATGTCCATGTGTATCCAATGTTTAGCTCCTACTTATAAGTGAGAACATGTAGCATTTGGTTTTCTGTGTCTGCATTAGTTTGCTTAGGATAATGACCTCCAGCTGTGCCATGTGGAGAATCATCTTTTTATTGCTGTGTAGTATTCCATGGTGTATGCATACTACAGTTTCTTTATCCACTCCACCACTGATGGGCACCTGGGTTGATTCCATGGCTTTTCTATTGTAAATAGTGCTGCAGTGAACACATGGGTGCATGTGTCTTTTTGGTAGAATGATTTATTTTCCTCTGGGTATGTACGCAGTAATGGGACTTCTGGGTTGAATTTTAATTCTGTTTTTAGCTTTTTGAGAAGTCTTCAAACCACTTTCCAGAGTGGCTGAAGTAATTAACATTCCCAAGAACAGTGTGTAAGCCTTCTCTTTTCTCTGTAGCCCTGGCTGACATCTCTTATTTTTCTTTTTTGTGTAATAGCCATTCTGACTGGTGTGAGATAGTATCTCATTGTGGTTTTAATTTGCATTTCTCTGATGATTAGGGATGATGAACATTTTTTCATATGTTTGTTGGCTGCTTGTATGTCTTTTTTTGAGAAGTGTCTGTTCATGTCCTTTACCCACTCTTTAATGGGATTATTATTATTTAAAAAAAAATTTATTTATTTGAGACAGTGTCTTGCTCTTCACCCAGGCTGCTGTGCAGTGGCACAATCTCAGCTCACTGCAGCCTCGACTTCCCGGGCTCCAGCCATCCTCCTGCTTCAGCTTCCTGAGTAGCTGGGACCACAGGCGCGTAATGTTATTTTTGTCATTTCTGATTGTGCTTATTTGAATCTTCTGTTTTTCTTTGTTAATCTAGCTAGCAGTCTATGTATCTTGTGTATCCTTTCAAAGAACCAATTTTTTGTTTCATCAATCCTTTGTATGCATTTTTGGATCTCAATTTTGTTTGATTTTGCCCTGATTTTAGTTATTTCTTTTCTTCCTCCAGCTTTGGGGTTTCATTCTTGTTTTTCTAGTTCCTCTAGGTGCAATGTGAAATTGTTAATGTGAGCTCTTTTAAAATTCTTAATGTAGGTGTTTAGCATAATAAACCTTCTTGTTAATGCTGCTTTTGCTGTATTCCAAAGATTTTGGTATGTTGTGTCTCTGTTTTGATTAATTTCAAATACTTTTTTGATTTCTGCCTTAGTTTTGTTGTTTACTCAAAAGTCATTCAAAAGCAAGTTGTTTAATTGCTATGTAATTGTGTGGTTTTGAGATATCTTCTTGGTATTGATGTATATTTTTATTCCACTGTGATCTGAGAGTCTGCTTGGTATGATTTTAATTTTTTTGAATTTATTGAGACTGACTTTATCGCCAAACGTGGTTAATCTTTTTTTTTGTTTGTTTGTTTGAGACGAAAGTCTCACTCTGTTGTCCAAGCTGGAGTGCAGTGGCACAATCTTGGCTCACTGCAACCTCCACCTCCCGGGTTCAAGCGATTCTCCTGCCTCAGCCTCCTGAGTAGCTGGGACTACAGGCGTGTGCGGCCATGCCCGGCTAATTTTTGTATTTTTAGTAGAGACGGGGTTTTACTATGTTGGCCAGGCTGGTCTTGAACTCCTGACCTTGTGATTCACCTGCCTTGGCCTCCCAAAGTGCTGGGATTACAGGCATGAGCCACTGCGCCCAGCCATGGTTAATCTTAGAGTATGTTCCCTGTGCAGATTAGAAGAATGTGTACTCTGTGGTTGCTGGGTAGTGTATTCTGTAGAAGTCTGTTAGGTCCAACTGGTAAAGTGTCAAATTTAAGTCTAGAATTTCTTTGTTAGTTTTCTGTCTTGATGATCTGTATAAAGTTGTCAGTGGGGTGTTTAAGTACCTCACTGTTATTGTGTGACTGTCTACATCTTTTTGTAGGCTAGAAGTACTTGTTTTGTGAATCCTGGTGCTCCAATGTTGGGTGCATGTATATTTAGGACAATTAAGTCTTGTTGTTGAATTGAACCCTTTATCATTATGTAATGCCCTTCTTTGTTCTTTTTCACTTTGTTGGTTTAAAGTCTGTTTTGTCTGATATGTGATAGCAACCCTTACTTTTTTGTTTTCTGTTTGCGTGATAGATCTTTCTTCATCCCTTTACTTGGAGCCCATGGCTGTTGTTGCACGTAATAGGGGTCTCGTGGAAACAGCAGACAGTTGGGTCTTTTTTTTTTTAATCCAAATTGCCACTCTGTGACTTCTTTCTTTCCTTTTTTTTTTTTTTTTGAGACAGAGTTTCGCTCTTGTCGCCCAGGCTGGAGTGCAGTGGTGCGATCTTGGCTCACTGCAACCTCTGTCTCCCGGGTTCAAGTGATTCTCCTGCTTCAGCCTCCTGAGTAGCTGGGATTACAGGCACCTACCACCATGCCTGGCTAATTTTTGTATTTTTAGTAGAGACAAGGTTTTGCCATGTTGACCAGGCTGGTCTCAAACTCCTAACCTCAGGAGATCTGCCTGTCTTGGCCTCCCAAAGTACTGGGATTACAGGTGTGAGCCACCATGCCTGGCCCACTCTGTGACTTTTAAGGGGGGACATTTAGACTGTTTACATCCAAGGTTAATATTGATATGTGA